AGGAAAGAGAAGAAGATTTCGAAACATAGGCTAGAGGAAGAAAATAGAAAAAGATTAACAAAAATAGACCAATATTAATATGGGAATAGAATTAAAAATTTTATTTTATTTTATTTTAGGAAATTTTTATTTTAATTCTATTTTTAAGAAAGGTAAGCCATCATAGCTTAGATCTTCTCCTTGAAATTATAGCCTAGATCTTTCCTAATTTTATTGTAATTATGTATCTTTCCTAATTTCTTGTTCGTATCTTCTCTATCAAAATTAGGCAATGGGAATAAAATTAAAATTTTTCTCTTCTTTTATTTTAATTCTATTCTTAGAAATCACACCAATTATGTATCTTCCCTGATAATATTGCAATTCTGTATCTTCTGCAATTACGTATCTTTCCAAATTCTGCAATTCTGTATCTTCTGCAATTATGTATCTTTCCAAATTCTGTTGTAATTACTTAGATTGAGTTAGAAATTATCAGATCCTAAAGGATATGGTAATAAATTGGTAAAAAAAAATTTAGATGCAATAGGAATTGATTAATAAAAATAGGCAAAAAAAAAAAAAATGTGGGAACAAAATGGAGAAAGATAAATACAAAGCAAAAAAAAAGGAAGATGAAGTGATTTAAAAACTAAAACTAAACACAAAAATAAATACAAAGAAAAAAAAAATGTAACATTTAGGCAATAGAATTAAAGAATAAAACAAAATAAAATTACAAGAGACAAGAAAGTATCATGCATGTTAAAACAATTCTATCTATTTTTTTTAACGGTAACATCAACCATTAGTAATGATAGAAAATGAAATTTTTAATAAAAATAGAATGATATAGATATATAAATAATATTCCAAAATTTTACTTCTACAAAAACTCTAATTTTCACATAAAATCTAAGACATAGACCCTTGCAAATAAGAGCAATAATGTTACAGAAGTACGAATTTGAAACTAACGCCATAAGTTTACATATGTTGACTTGGATTTCAAAGGACAAACATTTGTAATGAGCTCACATAGATTGACTTGGATTTCAAAGAACACAATTGAACTTTAAATTATATAATTGAGTATCTAAATTTGTGAAAACTTGATCTGGGAGGATTCCTAGAGCACAAATAGTGACTCAAAATAAAGGTAACATTACATTTTCAGATTTAAAATTATATGGAAATATTTTTAACAAGATTCTAAATTAGATGAAAATATTTTCATTCTAGAATTAATATTAAAGTTGGGTGAAGTTTTCCTCAAATAAAATAGATGGAAATGATTAGATATATTTCTTACGGGCATAATTAGTTTCCAATCATTATAAATAGTAAATTGTTTAAAGATAGAAATATATTTTACACAACAGCTATTACTAAATTTCTAAATTAGTTGTTCACAAGAGATTATATAAAGTTGTGATTTCATAGTTATAATACTTGTGTGAGGACAAAATGGGTTTGCTTAAAGATGTCAATATGGTTTATGCCTTCTTGTTGATCTCTCTAGTTGCTATTTTGTCCAATCTCAATGGTCTGAGGCAAAGTGGAATGAGAGTGACAATGTGCTTTCTTTGGGTCTCAAAAAACGTGTACCAACAGGACCAAATCCAGCAACATCTCCTAAAAGCTCTCCCTCAAGTTTAGGCACCAAAAGGCGTGTCCCAACTGGACCAAATCCAGCAACATCTCCCGAAACGCCACCATTGGGTCTAGGCACTAAGAGGCGTGTACCAACTGGCCCAAATCCAGCAACATCTCCTATAAGCCCTCCCTCAAATTTAGGCACCAAAAGGCGTGTCCCAACTGGACCAAATCCAGCAACATCTCCCGAAACGCCTCCATTGGGTCTAGTCACGAAGAGGCGTGTCCCAACTGGCCCAAATCCAGCAACATCTCCTGAAAGCCCTCCCTCAAGTTTAGACACCAAAAGGCGTGTCNTAAATTGTATAATTTAAAATTGTTTTAATAGACAACATTTATTTAGCATGCATTTTCCAAGCATTAATGCGATATACAAGAATTTTAACCATCACATTCTCCATCAAAACTTATTAAATATTAGTCATCTTTAAATCAATTTGAAAAATATGAAACGTGTTAATTAATGAGTCCTTACATAATTGAGTATCTAAATTTGTCAATGGGAGGATTCCTAAAGCACAAATCATTGACTCAAAAAAAGAGGTAACATTGCACTTTTAGATTTAAAATTATATGGAAATATTTTTAACAAGATGAAAGTTTTTCTAAAATAAAATAGATGGAAATGATTAGATATATTTGGGGCATAATTAGTTTCCAAAAATCATTGGTTACAAATAAATTAGGAAAACTCATCCAAAAAAATATCATTATAGATGGTAAATTGTTTAAATATGGAAATATATTTACCACCCGCTATTACTGCATTTCTAAATTAGTTGTTCAAAGAGTTTATATAAAGTTGTGATTTCATTGTTAGAATACTTGTGTGAAGACAAAATGGGCTTGCTTAAAAATGTCAATATGGTTTATGCATTCTTTTTGATCTCTCTAGTTGCTATTTTGTCCAATCTCAATGGTCTCGAGGCAAAGTGGGATGAGCGTGGCAATGTGCTTTCTTTGGGTCTCAAAAGACGTGTACCAACCGGACCAAATCCAGCAACATCTCCTGAAAGCCCTCCCTCAAGCTTAGGCACCAAAAGGCGTGTCCCAACTGGCCCAAATCCAGCAACATCTCCTGAAAGCCCTCCCTCAAGTTTAGACACCAAAAGGAGTGTCCCAACTGGCCCAAATCCAGCAACATCTCCTGAAAGCCCTCCCTCAAGTTTAGACACCAAAAGGCGTGTCCCAACTGGACCAAATCCAGCAACATCTCCCGAAACGCCACCATTGGGTCTAGGCACTAAGAGGCGTGTACCAACTGGCCCAAATCCAGCAACATCTCCTATAAGCCCTCCCTCAAATTTAGGCACCAAAAGGCGTGTCCCAACTGGACCAAATCCAGCAACATCTCCCGAAACGCCTCCATTGGGTCTAGTCACGAAGAGGCGTGTCCCAACTGGCCCAAATCCTGCAACATCTCCTGAAAGCCCTCCTTTAAATTTATTATGAGTCCTCGTGATAGTAGCGAGTTTAATTATTGTCTATAAAGATGTATTACAATGAGGTCTCTAATGTTCTATCTTCTATCTTATGAGATGATCCACCCATATGACAAGAGACTCTAATAATGAGCGTGAAAAGAATAATTTAGTCGTAGAATCTTTTTAATCTAAAACTTTTATAATAAGATTTCTTTACCTTTTATTCAAAAGCTACGAGGAAGATATAATTTTAATTTCTACATCATTGATTAACATTATATAAATTAACAATCATCGACATAAATTGTAACACCCGATCTCTGATGAGAAACTGAAAACCTAATTTTTTCGCTTTAAGTTGAAGATCCAAGATTTTATTGAGGATCTTAGAGACCGAATTTTGAGAAGAGGTAGAAGAGAAAAATGCTTAGAAATATCTCTGGACCTAGAAAAATATAAAAAGAAAAAATTGTCAAACTCAACTAGATCTCTTCACAAATTAGAAAAATGGCCATAAGGAGTCCTATTCCATCTGAGATCTCTTCTAAAATTCTTCACAGAACCTATAGCCTAATAAATTATTAATAATAATAATTAAAAAAAAAAAAGTAACCCATCCTTCTCTCTCCACCAATTTATCACATCTCCATCCCCAAATTTCTCTCTGAATGACTAGTCTGCATAGAAAAAAAAACAGTAAAAACGAACGGATCAAAAAAAATTTAAGCACATCTAAGGGTATGGACAAAAACAAACAGAAAAAAAAAAAAAACAAAAATGTTTAGATTTAGTTACACTTTATGTCATTTGAAGAGGTCAGGAGTCTTCCTTTTTTTATTAAACTATATTAATTTGGTTATAGTTAATTATTTTATTTTATTGAAGGATATTAATTTGATTACAATTAATTAGTTTTGAAATGAGAGATTAAACTATAAGAATTTTGTATGAGTTTTAAGAAATGTCATAGCCAATTTTAAAGAGGAAGTAAATATTCATTAAAAGAAATTGACTAAAACGAACTATGAAGAAGGAAATAACCGAGATAAAAAGTAGGGATGTACATGATCTGAGTTGTGTTGGGTTGGGTTGAGGGATTTTTTTGACCAACCAAAAGTTCGGGTTGGTTGGATTGATAACCCAACCCAACTCAAAAATTTTCAAACCAACCCAACCCAACCCGAAAATTTTCGGGTTGGGTTGTCGGGTTGTCAACTCTAAAAAAAATTTAAAAAATTTATTTATCCACATTTCATAATTATTCCATAGAATTTTAGGTAAAAAAAATATTAAAAGTTCAACAAACACAAATCAATCTATAATAATTCAAAAAAAAAAAAAGTTATCAACAATAACAAGAGAAAATTGTAACATCTTAACATAATTCAAGGTTATTATAGAACTAAATACAACTAAATAGGGATCCTAAGGAAATGATAGATCATCAAAATAAAAAAACAATAAAAATGATTAGTTTTAAGGAACAGTTTTATGTGTTAAAGAACTCCTAAATTAATTAAGAATTCTCTGACAAATACTAAAAGTTGATCCATAAGCTATTGTAAACACGATAAAAATATACTGAACAACTTTTGATAAAATTATTTATTTAAATTCATTTACTTTCCACCCAGTCGAATGAGAAAAATGATAGATGGAAAGTAAAATGAATTATAAAGTAGTTTTCCAATCAACACAAGTATAGAAATTCCGAGTTTCAAAAAATTGATTTAAGAATACTTAGAAAGCAATATGCTTTAAAATTAAGCATTGAACGATAAAACGATAGTGTTAGGATGACTCTAAAAGTAAGGATTATGATAGATTGATAGAACGATAGCGTTAGGATACGTTCCTGTAAGGATATGACTAAGGTACGTTCATGTAACGATATGATTATGATAGATATAAGAATGTTAAGGCTATTGATAAGTTAGAGAGCGATATGACAACAAAATGTTTAAGATATGATATGATTATGATATGACATATGAATGACGGATATATATATATACATATACATATATTTTGTGATTTGATATGAAAATGATATGAAATATGTTATGGTACGAGATATGTGATAATTGACATGTTTATAATATGATATATTGTGATGCGATATATGTTATGGTATGATATGTAAATGATAAAAATTGTTATATCTGGAAGCATGGAATGCTATGATATAATATATTTATGTAATTTGAATGATATGATGTGATTGACATGCAAAATGACGAACTAGCATGAAATACAATTTCGACATATGCATAAAAAATATGTGAAATGATATGAGAAATGATATGATATGTACGGAATGCTATCGGGGTTGTATTAAATGATAATAAAAATAGAAAAATGTTGAGACCTCATTTCTTATTGTGTGTTCATGCATTGGGGATACCTCTTACCCTTCACGATAGTACAGACGTGTACGTTACGAGGCAGAAAAACAATCATTATGGTTATCATAATGCTACGATGACCAAGCAGAAAAACGTTCATTATGCTTATCATAATGCTACGACTGTTAGGAAGGAAAACAAACATTATGTTAAACCTAATTTTGTCTTGCTGGTTACTAGTTCTAACAGTGTCCAGTTTAAGTAGATCCTAGAGTATGCTCGCACGACAAGGAAAGTGGCCCAACGGTGTGTGAACTGACTAGTGAGTCCATACTCGCACGTATGGGCTGTGTGTAGAGTATGTGGTACACGTCCAAGTTACTCGTTAGGATAGTACCGAAGGAAAATAGACTGAAAAGACAGGTCATTACATTCGCATGTTCTTGAATTTTAACCTCATATTTTCTATCAAAATTAATTAACCATCTCCTAGAATATTGGATATCTAAATGAGAGGATTTTTATCTAAATTTATCCAATCTTATATGGGAGTTTTCATAAAACACAAATGGTGACCCAATAAATATAGTAAAATTTTGGTGAAGTAAAACAAATATTTAAAGCATATGTAATTACCTATTATGTATATGTTTAAATTATATCACAATAGGTAAATCTCAATTTTTATTTAAAATTTTAAAAGGTTATATTTTTGTTGTTTTAGAAATAAGGGTACTATTCATTGAGACAACTCCTCCCCAAATATCTCTCCTCAATTCAATACCTACTTTGACTGACTATTAGACAAATTTGCTATAAAGAAAAAAAAAACAAAAAATAGTAAATTTTATAAAAGAGATATTGTTATTCTTTTAAAAAGAAAATGAAACGAAACACTAAAAGTATAATTTATTCTAACTTTTATAATAAGATTTGTTTACCTTTATTCAAAAGTTCCCTTGCCTATGAAGATTAACATTATATAATTTAACAATCATGGACATAAATTGTAACACCCGATCTCCGATTAGAAAGATATGTCTTCTCATTGAAAATTTTAGTTAGTGTACCCTATAAGGATCAAATCCTTAGCGCCGTACATTAGCATATAGTCCCTCGTTCTCCTAAGATACTTGAGGATATTCTTAACGACAGTCCAATGAGCACGTCTCGGATTGGACTGATATCTGCTGATAATTCTTACAGCATAACATATGTCGGGTTGGGTTCATAGCATGGCATACATCAGACTACCGATTGCTAATGCATAGGGAATGTGTCTCATATCCTCAACTTCTTGAGGTGTCTTAGGACTTTGTTCCTTCGACAAATGAGCTCCGTGCCTGAAAGGTAATAAACCTTTCTTGGAGTCCTGCATCTTATATCGAACCAACCCTTAAAAACGTTGAACCGGACCCCAACGGCAAAAAAAAAAACACCCGAACCTCCTCTTCCAACTTCTTCTTCGGTTCAACTTGCTATCTCTTCCATTTTCGATAAATTACAATCTAAAATGAACTCTAATGACTCCATAAAAATTACAGACCTTTCTTCACTCATTAAAGCCCATACACATTAGGCTTGTTACAATAATTGTATCCAATGGAAGCATAAAAAATAAAAATAAAAATAAAAAAATCCCAAAACCAAAAATATCCACTTTAGCAACCACAAAATTTCATTCATGAAATAGTACCCACCATGCTCAAATTAATGCAAATAAAGTGCCTAAAACTTGCTTTGATACCAATTAATGGAGTTAATATAACACATGCGGAAGCAATTTGAATCTTAGGTACTCTTAGAACATCTTATAGTAAATAATTATCATGTTCATAAGTATTAAAACTCAAGGTGTTTGAGTACTAATCTTTTGTAGTTCAAATTCTTTTTTCCTCACGAACTGGTTTCGAACCACCACTAGCGCCTTCTCCACTATTCTCCGGCCTTAGAACAGAATTGTGGAATCCGGTGAGTGACTAAACTTGGGAGGAATTTAGTATATATGAAGAGAGTGTGAGAGTTTTTCTCAAGGTTTTTCCAAGGGAGACCTTCCATGTACCTTGATCACAATATTTATAAAGTTATGTTTGCATGTTCATGCAAATTTGAGATCACCAAATTTTGACACTCAAAATTTCACTCAAATGTTTATAAACAATATTTATAAAGTTATGTTTGCATGTTCATGCAAATTAAAATATTTAAATCTTATTTAAATATCTTCGATTCTCTCTTTTTGTTTAATTCATAATTAAAAAAAATGCGGTTAAATATATCATATATATGTAGCACATATTCCCTAATTTAATTTCGATTCTCTCTTTTTGTTTAATTCATAATTAAAAAAAAATGCTGTTAAATATATCGTATATATGTAGCACATATTCGGATTTGAATTCGATCACTTCGAACTCACTCGTCACACTGTTCTATGGTTTAGTCCGATATGAGCTAGCAGAGGGACCTAATGGACCTACAGATCATGGGCTTCAAAGATCCGAGATTAACTAGCTAAACTCATTAACCTTGTTAACCAAATATATATATGTATATTTATGTGTCTATATATATACATAATACATATATATGTAGATATACGTATATATATCGATACTATATATATGTATATACGTGTGTGTATATATATATATAAAAGATAAACAAAATTAAAAGATTTTAAAGAAGAGAATCCATGAACTTAATCGCAAAAAAATTTATATTTTTATATTTTCAATGTATTTAAATTTGAATTTTAAATTTTAAAATATAGTGTATAGAAAAAGGTTCTTATAAATTTAATTTATTTTATATATTATACATTATAATTAATTATATATATAGTGATTTAATGGACTTGAACAATGTTAATTTCTTATTTAAAATAAACAATTATTTAACACTATTTATTATCTCATGAGGGAAAAAAAAAACAAATTCTACATTAAAAATAAATTATATAATATTTCTCTTTTTCTTATTTAATCCTTATTTAGGACTCCCTTTATTTATTTATTTATTTAATGTTAAAATAAAATGTTGATAGCCTTATATCATTATTTTAGGACTTTAAATCTTTCAAAAAAAAAAATTATTTATTTAATAGTTAAAGATAAAGATGCATTATATCATTTTAAATTTGAATTCCAATTTTGGTTTCGAATTGTTTAAGGAAATCTTATATTCTTTTGTATATATATATATATATATATTATCTCTACTTTGACTTTCTTTATAATGTGAAATAGTTTTTTTAATCACTTTTTTTAATATTGAATATCTTTAAATCGAAGCACCATCAATAGTATGTCACTAGAAATTGAAGCGTCGTGTTCCAAACTTCAACAACTTCACTCAACTTCATCGTATGTTGAACCCATCAAACTCACGTTAATGGTCCATGTCATTTGCAATCACTTCCTCATAGAAGAAAATGGTAGTTTATTATTGTCGAGGCAACAAGAATCCCGAAAGTTTTTCTTCCTAACTCGTCAATTTCCTCCCAAAAACTTTGACGACGACAACGATGCAACCTTTCTACAGTTCTCATCGTCCAAGTTCAAAAGATACAATAACCCCATTCTTGATGCTAAGGTTATCACAGACAGATAATAAACCACTGAAGAAGAATCAAAGAAACTGCAGATTTAGGTAGGCTTGGAAACGTTTTTCATCTAACAGTTACATTGAAATTATGGAATGTTGCAACCTGTCATGTGAGATCGTTCATAAGTGAAGACTTGATGGTTCCTACGAGCCAAATCGCTATCCAGATGTCAAGTAAAGTAACTATTGAGAAGATAGGAAGGGATGAAAGTTGTGTAATTTACATGGAAAAGATTATAAAAGAGGAAGGAACTGAAATATTATTATTGGAAATACCTTGCTTGCATGTTTATCATGAAGAATGCTTGAGAAGTTGCTGAACAAAAGTCATTATTGTGTAGATTTGAGATGCTCTTAGATGTGTTATTTTTTTTTTTTCATTGTTATTGTGTTTAATATGAAAATAATTTATTAGTTTATATCTTTTTCATTAAAATGATTGGAAAATAGTGAGTTGATACACTTGCTTGAGACGAATAAACGAACAAGTATAGTTCTGAGTTAGCTTTAGTGGACAAATATGATTAAAAATAAAAAACGCTCCAAATTTTTCGAAGTAGGTGGCAGAGAAAGAAAACAGTGTGAGAAAACATCCATAGAAGCCTCGGAATCGTGAGAAGGATAAGCTTGACTTATACATGATTTAGAGGGGTGATCATTTTTTTAGCTTCAAATACAAACATGCATAGCAGAGTGAAACCAAAGTTGCTTCGAAAGTCAAAGATCATAACCTTACGCTTGAAACACAACCAAGAACTTGCATGTTTTGAAAATACTTTAAAAAATGACACAACAAAAGACAAAATAAAATGAAAGTTTAAATGAAATATTTTCACATTCAATGTTTATCATATGTATACAACAGCAACCTTAAATTAAGTAAAAAATTTCGGGTCGTTACAGAATGCTTAGAAAATGCATGATAAATAAATGTTGTCTATTAAAACTGTAACAACCAAAATTTTTCTAGTTAATTTAAGGTCGTCACTATATACATATCATGAACATTGAATGCAGCCATGGACTTACACGTTTTAAAACCACCTTTA